AAAAATATTTGGGGGGACACCCCCCGGAAATTTTTTTTCCCCCCCTCTCATTTTGTGGGTTTTTTAAAAAATCCGGGGGATAGCAGATTTGTCCCGATGGGGGGGGATTCTCTTGGGGGGGGTTTTGGGGGGGCCCGGGGGGTGCCGGCCCCCAGGAAATTCCTTTGGGCGGCCCCCGTTGGGGGGTTTTTGGGGTTTTGAACCCGGAGGGGGTTTGTGGGGGGGGGGGGGGGCAAAGGGGCCCGGGGTTTTGGGCAGGGGAAACCCGAAATTGTGTCCTTTTTTGGGGGGGGGGGGGGGGGGGGGGGGGGGGGGGGGGGGGGGGGGTCTCACGTGCTGCTCTCCTTTGGTTTTTCGTTTTTCGACGAGAACGACTTTCAGGGGCGCAGCAAATAATTCAGCCGGCAGAAAACCGGCGGTTTAACGGCAAATCCGCCCACCAGGGCGGTCATTGGTCGACATAACCTTTGCTTTTAACGGCACTGTAGGGGGCACACGCGTTTATTCAGACCAGAGTTGGTTCTGGTTTCCAGTCGAGTATCTTCCAGGATGTGAGGCTGGGTACTGGCGGTGTTCCAAAACCAAAAATTCCAAAATCAAGAATCAAGATTGGTTCTGGTGGGTGGGAAGTTACTATTTTTCGAGTTGATTTCTGAGGAAGAGAAAGAGTCTGCCGGGGACATTTTGCATGTTACGGAATTCAAGATCGAAGCTCTGCGGGAAACACAGAGAAGGCTTATTGTGGGGTCTTTGGCCAATCAGAGCTCGGTTTTTGGCTCATGAGAGTTTTATGAGGGACTATAATAGGTTGCTGGTGTCACGAGGTTCTGCCACAAGAAGTGGGGGAAACTGTACGGGAAATATGCGTTCTATATGTGTCTGAACATTTAGTTTCCAATGTGGACTATACAGGATAGCGTTAACTGTTAATGCTAATGCTTCCATCAACCACATCTTGGGCCTTTCCCTCTTGCGTTCGTTGCCGCTGTCATGGCCACCTCCACCTCCGCCGCCGTTTTTCTTCCGAGCGAAGATCCCAAGGGCAGTCTGCTCTTGTCAGGCCGTTCGCCGCTCGAGTAGTTGCTGCTGCTGAAGCCGATGCAACTGCTGAGGCTAGCAGGAACGACAACGACGCCAACAGTCACAACAGCGACAGCTTGCTCGCCGCAGGAAACGCTTATCCGACCGTCGGGGGAACGGCCAACGCGCCATCACCGTCCCTGTTTGGTCAAAAAGTGAGTGGGTGGTCTGCCATCTTGGCAACTACTGATATGTATCCTCTCCCTGTCCACTCCAGCTTACGGTGTCGTGTCGGCACCCATGCATGTGCATACCCTCCTTTAGGCTTTCCGGAATCGGCGAGAAGGAGAAAGGTTTTTCGTCATGTTAACGGTTCAACATGTTGGGTCGCCACGTGGGCAGGGTGTCGGGGACGGACTTGTGACACCCGCCAATACGTATTTCATGTTTTCTCATCGTATTGGCCCCCCAATCGAAACATACCTCCGCTAGGCATTTCGCTCGGCACCCTAGTTCAATTGGATAGGGGATTGAGTGTTTCAAGAATGAGAAACGGAACTGATCTCCCTATTTTTCGTTTTTGGATGGCACGAACGGTGGCTCTCATTTTCAACCGTGCTGATTGGCTCAACTCTCACCGGTCTTTGTCACTGCCTCCTTCCCTTGTGCCTGTTTGAAAAATCCAACCTATGACGTTGTGGTGTGTGGTGTGTGGCGGGGGACCCCAAGGCTGCGGTGACAACTGTGTTCCTGGCGTCGGAGCCAGTGGTGATGGTGGCTCTATCGGTGGGATTGAGGACGAGTGCCCCTGGGTGAGATATTGGTGGGGGGGGGGGGCGGTTGCCTGTAGCGGTAGACCGCATTTACCCGATGGCACAGCAGTTGGCCTGTCTGGATTGTACGCTGGTGCGCGCAAGTAAGACACTGCTGTGTTTGTCGGGCGTGAGCTTGGTTTTGTGCCTCATTGCTGCGCCATCACACACTCGAGCCCCCAAACCCCATAGCAGCCAGCCTCGTGATCCTGCGGAGCTCCTTTCAAGCGACCTTTCCTCCCTACCAAAATTCACCACCTGTCCCTTGCTGTACTCCAAGTACAATACAATCGTGGCTGCCGAGTATGGCACCTTTGGTTAGCCGGGGTGCCCCATCAACCCATGACATGTCTGGTTTGGTTTGGAACAGCGCAGGCAAGGATGATGGCCAGCTCCTGGTTCTCATGCTTGTGAAACGTAGCCTGGGCCGGCGGAAACTCGGCATTATCGCTCCGTCGCGGCATTGTAGAGATTCGAAGTCAGTGGTCTAACGAAATGACCACGGCATGCATTTACATGAGTACCCCCCTCCCCATATTTTCAGACTTTTGCTGGCGAACGAGCGCCGCCCCAGCAGCCGGCTGGTCCTGCTGAGCCTCCTGGACGCCAACCTCCCCGTGCTCTACTCGATAGTGGCCCCCCACGCCATCGAGGCCCTGTGTGTGGAGCCCCGCAGCGGCAGGATCTTCGCCGCTCGGTCCATGACCTCTGCTGCTGCTGCTGCTGCTGCTGCTACCGGTACCGGTGCAGCTGCTACAAGTATTGCTGTGGGCGGAGCCGGCGTTGGTAGTGGTGCGGCCGGGGGGCTAGATTGGGGGGCGAGGGCGTTGTCGAAGGGGGGGATCGTCGGGTCAGGAGACGTCGATGCCGCCGGTGCTGCCTGGAACGGCTCTGCAGAGGGCTGGATGGGGATGGCGGGAGGGGACGGGGGAGGAGGAGGAGCCGTGAGCGTGTTGGCGCTAGCCAGCGGGAGCTTTCTGGACCGTGGTCCGTTGCGGTGAGTTGGGATTGGGAAGCGGCGTGTTGGTCATCGCGTTTCTTGTCGCCTCTCTTGTTGCAGATGCATGTGATGTATTCACGTTGCGTTTGGTTTCATGCTTCAGGGTTTGATTGTTGTCTGTGTACGACACCGCTGTTTCCGCGAGCGGGAGGAGGCTTGATGCAGTGCCGTTATGACGTCTTGCCCATGGTATGGAGGCAGGCGCAGGCCTTTTTTTCTCTTTTTCCGACGCGGTTGTGTTTTGATGTTGGTTCCCCGCCTTTCGCTCCCATTGGCGGTGGACTGCGCGACTTTGCGATTGTATCAGCCCCCCGTCGCCCGTCGCGCACAAACCACACTTTCTACAGCAGTCAGTAGTCAGTACTTGCCTGCTGCACGCGGCCCTCCGTCCCTCGTCGCTCTGGCAGGGTGCTGAATACTACAATGGAGGTGCCGCCGACGGTTTTCTTGGAGGGGGTCAAGGGGCGCGACGAGACATCATCGCCGAATGCTGCCCGAACGCAGCAGCAACCGCTTATACCGCTGCCGCTACAGGTGGGTGCACAACGACACGGAGCTCTTAGTAGTACACTACGCTTTGCCAGTCGCTGAAGTAGTTCGTTCGTTGGCATATCACTTTCCTTCTCGGCACACCTTCAGATGAAAGCCGCTTGGATAGATGTTAGATAGCACTTGGGATGAGGTGGGAGTTGGGAGGCAATACAATGGTGGTCTGAACGCGCGGTTGCTTTAGGGTTCTCGTTTACCGTGTGTCGCCGTTTGTTTTGTGCTCATCGGCGATTCGAGTTGCAACGTCTCCCCTTCCACCCCACAAACGCTGAACATCTGCGGTACACTCCGAGCCATTATAGTGTTTGTGTGTGAGACCCCAGGATCGGGTTCCCTTGATCCTGTGGACGTTGTTGCTAGTACAGGTGGGTGCCCTCTAGCACAGATGGAATCCTCAAGATATTATTGTTAGTACATTGAATAGCACCGATGGAATACTCAAGATACATACGGTTAATTCATTGAATAGCGCGGGTGCCCGCTCGCTATAGTGCGCGGGTAAGAGCGCTTGACGCATACCCGCACCATCTAGGGCACCCGACTGCTGAAGCTGTGTTTCCTCCACAAATGATGTCGACCCCATGCCCTACTCTCGACTTGGCGCGCAGGTTTACTTCTTGCGAACCATGGCGGTCCTTATCCAGGCAGGCCCAGGGGGTGGCTTGGATGTTCCAGCTGTCAAGGCCGTCCTGCATGCGCAGGGGTTGGAACGGTACGAATCCCCCCGCCCACGAGCGCTTCCCAACTTAAACTCATCCGGGCATGGCCAAGAGCTGGGGTCTTTCTCACTCCAACATGTGTAAATTATTTGTTGAATTTCCTTCGGCAGTATTGTACTATTAGTCTATCTTCCTTTGCCCGGCTACGTTGAGGCGCAGCGTGGCTGCTTTGCGTGACCAAAGACTGTGCTCTCCCATCCCATGTCATGCCATCTCATGCCATGTCATGTCACGTCACGTCATATCACCTGACACCGTACACCGTACGGGGGAAGGAGAGGGTACTTTTCTTTCTGTGGGTTGGGCGCTGCATCCATAGCGATTTACTCATCGTCAGTAGGGCTACTGTAGATGCCGCCACTGTCTGTCATGCAGCGAATGATACCATACCGCATCATGTTGACGAAGTGCCCCTCAACACATGCGTTGTTTCGTTCTGATCTGAGGCCAGCTTTATTTTTTGCGACCGAACATCGGCTGCCCGGCCGGTATCGCCCCCTTCTCTTTGGTGTATCCGCGCGACTATCACGCTGCAGAGTAGGCGTTGCCCAGCCCTTCCCCGGTGTAGAAAGTCAACGTCATCTCCTCTGCATCGGTGATGAACACAGGACAGAAATTAAAACACACGGCACCCCGTTCGGCGTTCCGTCAATTGCATTTTTCGCTTTTTTTTTGCGTGCAGGGACAAGGGTCTGAAGGACAGGAGTAAACCTAGGCGGCTGGCGTCTCTACCGGGGCACACGGATGACCTCCTCAGGCACACCACGGGAGAGGTTCGGCGTCTTTGTCTCTGTCTGTCTCCTTCCCTATGTACCATGCCGTATTTTCACTTGTGTGTCTTTGTTGGTAGACTCGACCGCGCTAACCGGCTGGCATTGACAAGACTTGCCTCTCAGTGCGGCTAAATCCTGAAAATTCTTCTCTATAGCCCCCATGGTCTGGGGGGGCGTTGGTGTGTGTGTGTACGGTGCAAGATGCGGTATTATTAAGTCGTCAAGCGTTGCTGTTCGCCGCTGTTTAGGTGACGTCGGTGATGATGCTGATGGTAAAGTATTCGGGGCGCGTGGGTGGTTCGGGTTGCTGCTACAATACTCTGTTTGCTGTCGCTAAGGAGTATCGGACTAGCAGGTCGTTCCGGTCGTGTGTTGTCGTTTACAAGGTCAAGTTCTCCGTGCTGCTTACTGTCCGTGCTGTTGCTGTGTCTTGGCGACGCCGTTGGCAGCTCGTGACGGCATGACGATGGTGATGGCGATGGATGGCGATGGTGATGACGATGGATGACGATGATGAAACCGAAACCGAAACCGTCACCCACCAACTCTTTTTTTTTTTTTTTTCCCACCAACAACACCCCTCAAAATAACGGCCCCGTGTTTTTGCAACAGTCCGCGGGGTTCCCATCCGGACACCTGATGCCATATCGGCTCGTTGCGGGACCCCTGCTGAGGCTCTCGACGGCCGAGGGGGGTGGCGCTGCGGCTGGCTTGGGGGGTGTCTCCCACGAGGAACGTAGGCGCTTCTTGGTCCTGTACGAGATAGTGGCTACGGAGGGATCGGACCGACCGCCACCACCTAACAGAGGTACCGTACCGTACCGTACCGTACCGTACCGTACCGTAGACACTGCCGTAGATACCGTAGATCGATAGATCGACACTTCTTGTTTTTTGCCTCCTATTTTGTGTGATTGTTTGTTTTAAGCAGAGGGTTTCTTTTTGTGCAGGCGTTTTCACCGTGTAGAGGCTGCCCAGGCGTGGGCTTCTCTCGCCACTCATCCTTAGTCTCTCAGTCTCTTAGTCTTGTGAAGAATATATTTCAAGTTTCATGAAGTTGTGGTGTCATGGGTGAGTCGATGCCCTTGCGAGAAATGGAGCTACTCTACTGCCATCCCGGATGCACGTGGTTGTACCTCCGTTGCACGAAACGCCTTCACAAAATGAGAACGGACTCCAGTTGTGTACAGGGGGGGCGGCGCAAGGGAGAGGGCACGGATACGTCGCTGTTTCATTCAGGCTTTCAAACTCACTCCGCTCTGGTTGCACTTTTTCCCTTATCGAAAGTCGACGCCAAGCAAAAGCTGCATCATCAAGCGGTTGAATCGTCAAAAGTGGTGAAATCACCAAATGGTTGAATCGGCTTGGCTTCCTTGCGGCATCTTGACCAAGGCCTGCTGTACGGTATTTTCACTTTTTCTGACCGTGTTCCCGGGTTTAACATTTCCCCCCCTGGTTTTGGATGAAAATTTACGAAGACGCGGCGTTGCGGGAGACATCGCGGACGGTGTGTGGCCTGGTGACGCCTGCGGGATACGGAGAGGCCCACGGCAGGTGGGCACGACTGGCTTTGGCGAACGGCGAATACTGCGTGCAACGTTGATTTGTTCCAAACAACGAGTGTGTGTGCGTGTGTTTATTTGTTCCAAGCGGCACGCCTCGTTTTGGAAAACTTAAGCTTCGATCCTAAATAGCGCTGTTGTTCTTGCTGCCATGAAATCCATACGCGTACACGTCGAACAGACACTTTTTCGCCGTTGTTGCTCTAGAAAAGATGGCGAAGTGTATTCACTTCTATTCCATGGTATGTTACGTCATACCATGGTACGGAATATGTTGTATTGAAAGTTTCTCGTTCGCTTAGTACCTATTATACCTCCTAATATATGCTTTCGTGTCGTCTGTGTTGTGTTTGACCTTCCCTTCCCGGTCCACAATTATCAATATGCGTGGTTGTTTTTTGTGGTGTTTGACTGTGCTTCACACCATGTACCCCATGTACTGCTGTATTCCCATGCTGCCGGTGCTGCTGCTGATGCTACTACTGCTGGTGGTGGTGGTGCTGGTCTGGTGCTGTGGTGCATGGCGTCGGTTACTGCCTGATAATTGGTACACCCGGGTCTGGTGTTGATCTGGCTTGGTCTGGTCCTACCCCATCTCCAGATACGAGAACGAAGCACAGCTGAGCCATCTCTTCCCGGCTACGGTGAGACTATTACTATTTCTATTACCATTACCATTAGTACGTATTACTGTTATTACCTTTTTGTTACTATCACTATCACCATCACTATTACTACTATATTACTACTATCACTATCACTATCACTATCACTATTATTTATCACTAGTTAGTCGTAAGCCTCATTCCGCCATTCCCGCCATTTCCGTAGTACTTGGACGGGGCTATACTGTACTGTACCTACCGAAGAAGGAGACGACTAATCCCATTCCCGGCTAGGGTTTGGGGGGGGGGGGGGGGGGGTGTACTCATAGTCCGTGCATGCCGTAGTCGTTTGACCATTGACCTCGCATCCCTACAAAGCCGGGACGGAGCACGCCGGGTTCACACCGGACCAGGCTCTCACATTCACCAAGCGCGAAGCGCCGTGAGGTATTTGGCGAGTCGCATGAAGGGTGAGCTGCATCCTGCTAAGTGTGTTCGGCATCTTGTGCTTACTTCCTTGCGCACGGATGACAGCTACGTATGACTTAATTTATTTTCTGGTGCTTTCACTTCCAGAGACAGTTGTAAGCACTGTGTAACTGCCTCGAGGAAGCTTGACCATTTTAACACAACGTGGTGCGATCATCCCCCGTTGTGCGGAGTGAGGTTTCTCGACCCCGCACAACATGATCTACTCGACCACCATTATGGTTACCGCCAAAAAAAAACCAGAGGTAAAAAAAAAACGGTAACCTGGTTGCCGAGTTCACGAAGTGAATTGGCTTGTTTTACAACGTCGTTGCCAATCGACGAAAACCCAATCCCGATGGCAAACATCGAGTGGGGGGCTTGTTTTACAACGTCGTTGCCAAGCGACGAAAACCCAAACCCCGACGGGGGGGGGGGGCATTTCCGTAGTACTTGGACGGGGCTATACTGTACTGTACCTACCGAAAAAGGAGACGACTAATCCCATTCCCGGCTAGGGTTTGGGGGAGGACGGGAAATGCGTGTGTTCGAGTTCGTGCACCACATCACACATCTAGGTTGTGGCATGTCACCGTTGAGATGGTTGATATCGACATGCAGGCTTGAAAACCTACTAACGCTTAGCCGACGAGTTTCATTGCAATGGCTGGCTGTCTCCTGCCTTGTACGTCAACCGCTCAAGAACACGCCGAACACCTCTCCCGTGCCGTCCATGAGCACCGCGCGTCATCGTCCTTTCCAGAAAGAAATCTTCACACACACACACACACACACACACACACACACAGCGGAAAGTCAAGGCTGACCGTTTCTTCTCACGTGCCTGCCCTTCCTTCCATTCCTCAACACCGCGGCAGGATGGCTGCTTCGTGTCCACGTCCGCGAACGCCGGAGCCGAGCCCTCGGCTTTGCTGGTGGAGGGAGGTGGCTATCTGGCGGCGGTGTACTCGATACCCGACATGCAGATGCTGGGTCGGAAGGCCCTCTCCCTGCCGGTAACCAGGGTGATTGCCACGCCAGAGTGCTTGGGTCCGCAGCGGGGCAAGGTGAGGGGAGCTCGTCGGGAGGCCGCTATTGTTATAGTCGCCCGAACATGGTTGGAACGCGTCGAAAGTTGCTTCGATATATGGTTGGAAGATGTGTCTCAGCTTTGTGACTGTCTCCCCTTTGTCTCGCGGAGCCTCTCCGTGTGTCACGGACTTGCCTCGCACGTTGATAAACAAGCAACCTCTTTTATTTCATGATGCGGCGTCTGACTTCATGATTTCATGATGCCGTGTCGTGTCGTGTCTTCCAGGTGTTGTACGTCGTTCGATCCCCACACACCCCGTCTGGCTTTCTGGAGACCATGGTGTACAGCGACCGCGGAGGACTTCAGTGCCCGGAACCCCTCCTCCCGGTGAGTATTTAGCATTTAGTATTTAAATTTAGTATGTGATGTTTTTCTTTGGTGGTTCTTTCTTTCGTTTTTTTGGAACAGAGGCCGTTGTCGTTGTCGACATCAATCAATCAATCGTGTTGGAAGAGGCCATTTTTGTTTTTTTCTCTCTTGTTTTTGTCAATACAATGGTTTATTTGTCGAACAATCAATCGATCAACCGCGTTGGAGGAAGTCATGTTTTTTTTTTACTTTTTTCATAGACCAATGGTTTCTTGATCGATCAATCAATCAATCGTGTTTGCTTGAATACAGCTTCGGCCTTCCAACGGTGTAGGCTTTGCACCCTCGCCGCCGTGCGTGCACGAAAATTGTTCCTCACGCCCTTGGGTGCTTGCATGTGTTCTCCCCGTCTATATTCTGGCGCCGGTCTACGACACACTGCGGTGTGTAGGTTTGTCGTATGAGCCGGAACCACACATGAGGAAGGTTTCACAACCAGAGCTTTGTAGTTTTTATGTTATTGTGATGCCCCACCTTCCCTTCCTTCCGTCCTGCTGGGTGTTTTTTTTTTTAATTCGGTGTGTGTGAAGGTGGTCTCACAAGGTGAAGGAGGCGGTGTCGCCCCGGGGTGGGCAGGAGGTCGGCCGTACGCTAACGCTCATCTCGTGCTGGAGCCCTCTGAAAGAGTTGTCGACGCGAAGTTCCAGCAGCTCACGACCGTGACGGAGCTCGCGACTTGGGGTTACAGGGTAAGTCGGCAGAGTCGGTGGGATTGGTGATCTTGCTGGTGTTATTGCATTTGATTGGTGTTGGTAGCGTCTTGCTGGTGCTGCTGCTGTTGTTGTTGTTGTTGTTGTTGTTGTTGTTGTTGTTCGCCATGATGATGACTCCGATGATGCCTGTGTACTATTCATGGTGCTTTCAGCTTCTGAAACTCGAACGTCCTACTGTACACTCACTGATCTTTGCTCTGTGACGTTTCCGCGTGCCCTCCCCCCCCACCCCAGCGAGGCGGGCAAGAAACCACCACCACCAGCTCCACCCCCCAGCCCGCCGCCCCGATGCTCGCGGTCCTCACGACGCGGCGCGTGCTGATGCTCTCGGCCGCCCGCCTCACCACCGTCGCGGAGGCCTGGGGTCACCCCCCCGACAGCCGCTCCGCCCTGGGCGCCTCCGGCGGGCTGTCCGTGTCCGCGGTGTCGGTGGCGTGGGCGGGGTCTAGTGTTGTCTGTACCCTGGAGGACGGCAGGTGCGTGCGTGGGAGGCGGGGGGAGGGGGGGGGGGCGCGTCCTCTTGTGTTTTTCATGCCTTAGCGGTTAGACCATTGACCACGCGTCCTCGAGAGGACGGAGCATTGTTCCCACAGGACCGATGGCCAATCGTTCGTTCCTACTAACCGATATGGGGGGGGGCTGATATAGAACTTTTTGTGGGTTTACCTTCGAGGCGTGAGGGTTAGACTCGCGGGGGGGGAGGGAGAAGAAGAGCCACCCTAAGACAGCTCACAGACAAGAGGGGCGTTCACCTCACCAGAGCTTGAACCAAAGTATCCACCCAGCTTCTGGCGAAGGTGATGCGTTTGTTGAGGAGATGGATGTGGTGGATGTGGTGGATGCGGTGGGGCTAAGGCAGGGTGAATGTTGTTTTTCCCGTCGGTACTGTCGCTGTCGCACGGCGTAAGCTCTGCCAGCAGCCCCCAAACCCATCTCAAACCCCGCCGCTTCAACATCCCCCCCCCCAATCTCCTTTTCACGAAAACACTCTTGTTGTTCAGGATTGTCTACCTCAACCCGGGAGATGGCGTCAAAAACGCCTTCCAGCAAAATGAACATCAACATCAAGAGCCCGACATCCCCGGCGGGGGCTCTCTTGGCTCCGGCCCCTGGCGACCGCTGTGCTCCATGGACCGCCGGCTGTGCGCGGGAGGCATTGGTATCGCGGCCTGTCTGCCTGACCGGTTGTGTCTGGTGGTTCGGGGAGGCGCCGGGGGCGGCATTTCTCATCTTATCACGAGGTAGGTGTGGACGGGGTCAAGTGTTGCATTATGGCGTACAACACGTCGTAGATGTCGTAGATGTCGTAGATGATGGGGTCGGTAGGGAAGGTTAGCGAGGGGTTTGGCAGTGCCGTTTTCGTCGTAGATGTCGTAGATGTCGTAGATACTGGGGAAGAATTGGCCGGTCCTGTTTGATGTGACAAGACCGTTGCTGTAGTTGTGTCGATCACAGTTTTCGAATTTTGTAGTTGGTTGATCGTCGGATCCACTCCCTCGGCCCAGATCCCTTCGCCCCTCGTATCTCGTGCTTTATCACTAATTCATTATCATCATTCACGACAACAAATTTCTTGCTCTCATTGTACCACTTTGCTGTGCTTTGCTCACGGCCATTGTACTGTCTTGTCTTGTCCCCTCTCTCTCTTCATCGTCGTGCTCTCGAATTAATTCATGAAATTGATTGCATAATTTTTTATTTCAGGCCGTTTTTCCCGTTAGAGCCCCTCGTGGCGGGCGTGCTAGCCGCCGCCTCAGCCGGATCTTCGCCGCCGCCGCTCCCATTCCCACTCCCACTCTTCTCTCCGGGAAGCGGCAGCGACGGCAGCGACGGCGGGGGCGACGTGGAGCGATTGTTGGATGACGGCACCCTCCAAGTGCTGAGAAGGTGTACAACGGCTCGGGTTGGGTAAAGGAACAAGCCGCACATGTTTGTACAGTCGTGATTCCTCTATCGTTCGGGTGGCTGGAATAGGGCGGGTGACACCTCTTTTGTCTCCTGAAATAGACCGAACGATCAAGTTGTGTTGTGCTTTGAGTAGAGCGGGGCGCCCACGATAGGGAGATAGGGGGAAATCGGCCTGGCACGTACCCGGGTTTTGGAGGGCCCATGACAACTGGAACCACTGTAACCTTCTTTTCGTTATGTCTGTCTCCTATGGTATCCTATCCTATCCTACCCTATGTCCTATCTTGCCGCCGTGCTCGTATTGTAATTCGGGAGTCATCGTTGTGTTGTTCTTCTGAGATACCAAGCACGAAACACAGACATACTCTAGTACCTTTTTTCCCTGTACAGAACGTATCCCCGAACCCCCCTCCCCCGGCTCCTTGGCGTATTGACGGGGTGGTGTGATACCCCTACCCACACAAAATTGAACGGGCACAACCATTTGTAATAATCCGTCTCCTCAGGATTGTGGCGCGGTACGCCCCCCCCAGATCACGCCTTCCCCGGGGCACAAACCCCGGGGATGGGCCGGGTCTCGGAGCGGGCGCCACCTGCTCGGCGTTCCGCGTCCTCAGTCGCTACGGGCTGCACGTGTTGGCGGCGGAGGTTGCCGGGGTGAGCAGCAGCAGCAGCGGCGGGGAGGCGACGGAGACTCGGTCATCGGATGTGTTCATGCGAAGGTGTGGAGTATGAGTGGTCAGTGTTAAGTTTGCACAGTGAGTTTGGTCCGACGGGATCCCTTTTTGTGCTCTCTCTGGTTCGTTTTTTTGCTTTGGTAAGGTCGTTGGTTTTCCGAGCTGCAGTTCTAAGAAACACGCGTTTCTACCATGCCGTGAGTGCTTCCACACTAGCTACCCTGCTTGTTTCGAGTCTTGGATGATGTCTATGACTGAGATGGTTGTGGTGTGTCTTTTTCGCGGTGAAGCACAGCAGCAACAGGCAGTTGGCAGGTTCATATGACTAGGCTTTGCGGGTCTCAATGTTGCATTGCAATAGGTGCAAAGCGAGTGCATGAAAAGACGCAAAGACGAGAGAAACAGTCAAGATCGAAGTAATTGCGCCGCATGTTGGACGTTGCGGGACGGTATTAGTAAATGGTGGATTCCTGCATATTAGAAAGTAACGGAGAGAAGGTGTGATATTTTCACCACACTCATGTGGCATCGAAAGCAGCTATGCATACAATGCCAGGAAAGCCTCAATTACAGTGCTCTTACTGTAGGGGGATTGGATTGAAGGAGGGAGATCGCTGGGTGGAGGAGATCTTGTTTGGGGTGGACCTGACTCCCGAGCTGCTGCCGCACTAACTTCTTTTCCGTCCCGCCTCCTCCCGCCTTCCCTTCCCTGGCTCTGGCGTGCAATGCGACACGTCTTGTGCACGACGGGCGCCGTGCTGCTGCTGCTGCTGCTGCCGGGGGGTGGCAGGCGGCCCTGGATCTCCCCCCTAGAGCGGAGCCACTGTGCCGCGTCGCTGGAGCTTCCTTTGACGGCCATGATCGAGGGGATCGGGGATGACCCAGCGTTAGTCGACACTTCGACCGACCCGGACGCCATGACCTCGGCCGTTCTCCCTGCCGTCGGCAGCAGGTACAGTACAGTACAGAACAGCACAGCACAACATAGCAGTACACGCGGCACTTGTAGAAGAAGTAGATCGTTCTGGTTGGTACGCGTTGTTCGGAGAATATACCGTTGGTTGTTCAGTACATAATACGCGTTCAGTGTCCAGGGTATAGACTATTGTATGGTCTTTGCTGTTGGTATCGTCTATCATATGATGTGCTGACGTGCCACGTGCATATGTTGTTGGTACTGATTGCGGCGATAGGTTTGGGGCCTTGATTTTTTGTGAAGGGACGAGAGTGTGGTGTTGTGGCATCGTTGGTGTTGTCGTGACTCGAATGGGACCTAGCCTTGTCCCCATTCAAAAATCAAATATAAAGAATACTGCTGAAACGCAGCATGTACACGAGACATGTGCTAGATTGGCCAGGTCAGGTACGAGATATCTCGAACCTATGGCCGTTTTGAGTGTTGAGAGTACAGGTTGAGACAAGCAGCAGCAGACGTGTACCTCAAGTCTGGATCATGTTTCTGTCCCGCACAGGGAAAAAAGCCCGTGTTGGCCTGCACCTGGTACTCATCATTGCTACAGTCGAGCTATGCATGAAAATAGACGTTCTACCTCCCCGTTGGCGTCGACTACAGCTTCAGATGGCGCTGATCGGCCGTACCTTTAGATGCCGGTGATTTGTGTGGCCAGCCAAATGCTTTTCCGTTGGCGGAAAAGTCCCCCTTGCGGCGAAGTCGAAAACTCCGATTTGTCCTTGGTTGGAGCAGCCGGCGGGAGGCACCAATCACAGTAGTGAATGTTTGCGTTAGAGGGCAGCGTTGATTGTCACACGAGAGCTTCTTGGGTGTTTCACTCCGTACGACACTTCCATCATTCCATCCACGACCTTGTTGTTGTTGGTTCTTGGCGCACGTTTTCGTGCCTGTGTTGTGGACGAGATCAGGCTTTCTCGGATGGCACTCTCCCTCGGCGAGCAAAGCGCTCGTCTCGGCCTCCACGAGGCAGCCGCACGTCTCTTCGACATCTCCGGAGAAGATGCCCGACTCTCCGGCTATCTCAACGGTCATGTCAACGGTCACACATCCCAGAGCGGGTCCCTAAACGAAGCAGCGCAAGCCGCCCCGGACGGGATCGAAACCCAGCCTGAGGCTGCTGCTGAAGTTGAGGTCGCCGCAGCCGATCAGCTGAGGGCGTTGACGGCTGCCAGGGAGGCTGGAGGGGGGAGGGGGGTCGGGAAGGCTACGGGGGAGGTATCGGCGCAGGCCGCAGGGCTGTTCCGGCGCACGTCGCTGTTGGCTGGGGTTGTGCGGTTCCCTCAGGTGGGTCATGCGTCCGTTATCTGTCGACGAGTGTCACAGACGTTTGGTGAAGGGGAGTGCCAGCGAATTGCTGTAGCTAGGTCGTACGGCGCTGTAGCTGCGTGCATGTTCATGTCTCACCACTGTTGTGTTGACCTCACGCGCATCTTGTATTTTTTCTGGTGTCCCACCAATCTTGTTTAGTTTCTTTGCTCGCCCTGCTGCACCACAAGGTTTCGATTGACGGTGTAGAGAGGGCCGTCGTACTTACATTGCACATGGCCATTATTTCCGGCTGGAATCCAAAAGAAAGAGCACGTTCTCCGCTTCCACCAGTGCGAAAAAAAAAGCCAAAGCTCTGTCCCGCCGCAACCAGATACACGCGAGAGAGAGACAGACAGACAGAGACAGGCAGACCGAGACAGAGACAGCGAGAGAGAGAGAGAGAGAGAGAGAGAGAGAGAGAGAGACGCCAGACTGCGCACACTTGCACTGACCGACCGCAACCAACAGCACCCTGAAACCTCGCACGGCACTCAACCGCCACAGGCATCCTCATCCTCAGGGGGTCTCAAGGGGAAAGCCCTCGAGGCGGCGGGGGGAGGGGCGAAGTGGGACGTCATCATGGAAGAGGCGAAGCCGGCAGGGGGGCTGAGTTTCGGCGGCGGAGGGCGTGTCGGGGAGGGGCCTCCGTCTTCCAGTCTGCGGCCCCTCGCCCTGCACTGTGCGGAGCAGTGGTCGGGCAGGGTCCGGCCGGAGTGCCTAGAGGTATCTACATACGATGTGGTCCTTCAAGTCGTGCAGCCTCCGCAAGCTCTTATTGCTGGGAAATGACTTGTTTAGTGTCTGTGCGGACGGGTTTAGGTGTAGTTTCACGGCAACGAAGTGCGAAGTCGAAGTTGAGGATGCGAGAACGCATTTTCCCCAAGAATTTCTCGTACTTCTCGTCAAGGCCTGCCTTCCCTTGTTCTCATTCTGGGAACCTAAAGGGCATCTGCTATACCCCCTCCCCCCTCCTCTGAGCCTGGTCCGGTGAGAACCCGGCGTGCTCCGTCCCGGCTTTGTAGGGATGCGAGGTCAATGGTCAAACGACTACGGCATGCACGACTATGAGTACACCCCCCCCTCCTCTGCCTCTCCCTTACGCTTCGCTGCCCCGACCAAGGTGAACTCCGCCGGAGGTACAGTGGCAATGGAGATATTTGCGAGTCGTCAGCAGCCCCTCTTCCCTGCCGCCTCCATGACTCCCGCAACTACCACCACCAGCTCTAGCGCTGGCTTTAGCAAAATCGGTAGCGTCGGCGGGTTGGCAAGGTCCGTGCTGTTCGAGTCGCAACCTGCATCGCAGAGACAGCAGCAGGGCGGGGGTGCTGATGAGGCGGTAACAACAGGTCACGTTTCGTCAAGGACCTCGGAGTCGGCCGTAGGGGCGGTGGAACCCGGCAGTGTTGACAGCAAGATGGAGGAGACGCTGCAACAGCAACCGTGGGTGCCCGTGGGGGGCTCGTGGAAGGACGAGGATAACGTGTGTGGGTACTGGAGGTTTAGTGAGGGAGCCGCGGTTGTCGGAGGACTGGAGGATGGGAAGCAGGTGAGGAATGGGCTTCGGCGGTCCGGATTCGACCGCTATTGTCCAAACCGTTTTGAGAGCCGGGGGCGATGTGGTAGAGGTCCATGTTCGTTTTGTGGTTCAGTATTGTTGCGAGGAGGTAGGAGGAGTAAAGAGAATTATGTGAGGGGTATGCGTTGGAGTCGGTGTGTTTTTCGTGCGTTGCAGTGCAAGGACGGAAGCTGCAGGCTGCGTTTGGCTACCGGTGGAACACGTCGCAGTGGACATGTGGGTCTTCAGTTGTCATCGACCGCGCCAACCGACTGAAGAATGAAAGAAAGCACGCCAGTCTTGTTTGGCGCATGTGCGCTTGTGTGATGTGTTATTTTGTCGGTTCGTCGTGGTGGGCGTGAAACCGTCATTTGGTGCCCGCTGTGTCATTCCTGCGACCGCGAACACACTCTGGCTGGTGGCGGTACCTCTCTACGACAAGCTGCGGAGAACGTGCTATTTCGCGCTGCGTTCCCCGTTCTGTGCGCAACTTGGGCGTCATGAGCTTTTTGTTTCGTTCGTTCGAAACAAGACACCATTGTGCCGGCCGGAAGGCTGGCCATCATTTTCAAGGCGATCGTTCAAGATATCGTCTGATAGGAGCGGTTACTGGCCCACACACATTGTGTTTTTTTTGGCACAAGAGGCCACCTATCGGTGCGTGATACTTGCGTCACCTGATGTACAAACACACGTAAAATGTTTTTGGGACAGGTGGAGATGAAGGACCTGACCAAGTACGGGTCCGCGGCGGTTGCGAGGGGGCAGGGTCTGACGTTCCAGACGACATCTTCGCCGGTGGACCCCGGTGACAAGGGGAAAGTCGCCGAGGCGGTGGACGTGTGCTTCCCTTCCTTCCCCGACGGGGAGGAGGTACGTGTGCGTGGGCACGCCTTCTATTCCTCTGTTGGGGTGTCTGTCGGCTTGGGTCGTGTGCGGCGAAAATGCTGAGAGGGGTGCGCGATAGAAATGGCCTGGTCTTTACGACCCGGTGCTGTCAGGCTGGAATTGTTTCGGTCGGCTTGTGTCTGCGCAAGGTGTGATGTGGTCGAATGGAAGGGGAAAGCCCAACGCTCGCCCGGCTGTGTCCTTAATGCTCGCTACCATATATACAGTATTTTCACTGTTCCAAAATAAGAATGTAAATTGAGGCCTTTGGTTCTCGGCCTCGATGCCCGAAATCCGTTCGGCTTCCTTTTTTCCGATTTTTTTCGCCATCTTCCCTCGGGAGCCCGGCGAAGGCCTGGTCACGGGTGACGTATATTTCTCGCACAATACATCGTCAGCCATGCCCTCAAAGCAGGAGGACGGTTCCAAGTTTGCGGTATTTGGGCTGTCTTGCGGTTGCGAGGGGAAAAGCCGTAGAGGGTTTGACATCCTACCACGAAACCTATTTTGTCTCTTGAACAACCCCAAGAAGGATTCGACGCCATCTGCCGAGGATCAAGGCCCGGTTCAGGCTCAAGACAGCAGTGACGTCACGATTGCGGGAGGATACCGGCGAGGGGTGTTCGTGAGAGCCGTCAGGGGCTCGAGCATCGACGTCGGGCTTTTCCACGACGACCAGCGGCGCAGCGTGGCTACGGTGGAAGTCTGGGTTAACGCCGGGAAGAAGGTATATGGTATTAAAAAAGCATGACACGTTTTAGAAGGTGGTCGGGTTAGAAGGTGTAACACTCCAGTACGTGGTAAGGCCAATCCTGGTTCGCACGTTGCCCCCTCAGGGTTGGCTTCGGGGCGGAATTGGAAGGGGAAGATATGTATTGTTTTGGTTTTACGTATCATTGTTCGTGCGGTGGTTTTCGTGCAGGCCGCCGGTCCACCTGCTTCACGTCGGGGACGGTGGCAGTTGGGGAATTGACGTTTTCTGTTTCAGCGTGCCGGCGACAACTCCGGGCACGTTCCTCTATCGTATCGTCTTATTATAGTACGTTGGGGACGAGGTGTGGGTGTCCCTTTGATGTGTCGGTATTGCGGGCTGGGTTATGGCTTGGGCGGATCATGTGCCGGCGGTCCGCCCCTGACGAGTTTCTGTTGAAGCGACTTCTCCTCTGCCTACCTATCTATCTATCTATAGCGGCAGCGGGTGGCGACAAACTCTTTGTTCTGACTCGACTACCCTCTGTCGACACCTTGCCGTGTGGCGAATATTGTGCATTTGGCACACTCCGTCTGTCGGCGTGGTTGGTTGGTGCTCCAGGCAACACCCACCGGCGAGGAGTACAATGAAGCCGGGGAAGCTTGTAATGTCGACAAATCTCCGGCCGAAGACGAGACTGGAGAAAACAAAGAGGCGTCGCTAGCAGCAGCAGCGGAGGAGGAGCGACGGTTTCGCCAAGGGTTCCACGTGCTGGCGTGCCGTGTGTCGGCGTCGGGTGAACACGTGTGGTCGTTGGTGGTCGAGAACAACGGTCAGGTGAGAGAACGAGAGAGAGACAGAGACAGAGACACAGAGAGAGAGAGAGAGAGAGAGGGGGGGGGGGGCACAAGGGTACTTTGTTTCAACCCCGAGCACATTGGCTGACGTGAGGCTGGCTGCTCTACGTTGGAGATGTAACGTAGGATTACGAATTTTAGGATAGTGTTTGGTCGTCACGTGCTTGTTCTTGGTTGTTGTAAATCATCTACCGTACAACCTGCACGGTACCCGTTTGGCCGGACATCGAACCAACGTATGCGTGTACCCTGACACACGTACTGTATATCACAAGTATTTTTATGTTGCTTGAGGTGGTATCGCTTGGCCACACGTTTTGGAGCCGACAAAGATCCAGTGCTCGCGAACATTGCCCCCTTCACTCGACCTACTCGAGCAAACATGAAGCTCCGCCTTCCAACGCGCCACCATTCCCGCGCCCCCTCGTTCCCCTCCCCACTGCGCCTCGACTGCTTTCACAGGTAGCCTTCATCCCTGGGCCCGGAGGGCGGCGCGATTTAGGACCCGGTTTCTCCAACACCGTCGGCGAGGGTGAAGACGGGCACAGCGGTGGAAGCGCCAAGATTGGGGCTCTGAAGGAAGCTGTCTACACAGAAGTATGCTAGAACCGTGGGATTTTCTCCGTTTTTTTCGAGTCGTCGTCGTCGTCGTTATTGTTGTTGTTATTGATTTTCTGTTGATGTTGTTTTTGATTCTCTGTTGTTGTTTGTCGTTTTCGTTGTTGGTTTTGGTTGCTATACTGTTAAGTGTTTCTTCTTCTCGGGAACGTTGCGAACAGCGCATGCCGTCACGGTCGAGAGAAACGCGACTCAAACTTCCCCTACCCCACCCTTTATTATCACCTTCCTGTTGGCGACATGATCTCCGGTCGTACCACCACCGACAGCCGGGGGCTTTTTCGTGGGACAAGTGGACTCACGTTGCGGTGTCAATGGACACGTCGAGGGACGAGAGCTCGGCAGAAGTCCGGCTGTTTTTGGACGGGCATAGGGTGGGGTTCGGCACGTGCAGGTTCAACAAGGTGAGTAATGCCACAGGTCCGCCAAACCACTTCCCGAAACAACCGCTACTACACATCATTTGGTTGGTCAATCGATCACATGCATGGCAAACGTCCCAAACCTTTCCAACTACCAGGCACAACTGTGAGTCTTCGGTATATTTCCACCATTTATGTTTATGAAGCCGCGGATATATAGATTTTTTGCGTGTAGCTGGACCCAGCGGTGGTTAGAAACGATGGCATGTACCATGGAACAACCAGAGAGCACTGCCGCACGGTTGTTTCGCTCGTATTTTTCCTATTGTTCAGGTACAGCGGTTCTCTCTGTCGGACACGTGGATGGTGCTCGGCCCAGATCTGGTGGGGTGGAAGTTGTCAGAGACAAGAGTGTGGGCCATGCTCAGGGACGAAGATGCTCTGCAGGCAAGACACACGCTCCCACTTACACGAACTAGCACGCGTGCAGGGCGTTGCCATGGTGCCAACATGCTACTTCTGCTTATGAAGCAGTTTCCGGTCTTGCTGGTTTTGTCATCCGGAACGTTCTGCCTCATTTACCGTGCCTGTTTGTCTCGTCTCGACCTCACCTGCCCTGGTATTGTAACACTGGAAATGTCAGAGGGGTGGAAACCCTCGTATCACGCATAACCGCACTCCCTCTTCGTTGGCTTGATCCTTGTGCTTGGACATCCGACCAAGGCGACGTGACTACGGGAAAAGCAAATAATGACAGGTATTACACCCACCCCCCCACTCTGTTGTGAAGGATTGGAAAGAGAACTCTCTCTCTCTCGCTGAGACAAAGAAGGCGAGGCTTATCATCCGCGCGGCATCCAAGGCGAAGACTTCAGCCCCGACGTTAAGAAGGGGCCCCGGAGGAACAACTCCCGGGAAGCTTGCGCCTCCCCCCCGTCCCACTCCTGGGACCCCCGTGAGACGGAGGTGAGGGCATGAAGGCCGTCAAGGTCTGGTTCATGCTGCATGGCGGTGTTTGTGTGCAGAACGTTTTTCCTGGAAGGCCTCCGACGGGAAGTCCAGTTGATCATGTATCTATATCGCCTTGTTTCCCGTTACGATGAGATGAGTCACCAAGAACAGACTCGGCCGAATATTGATGCAGAACGCGGTTTCTGTTGGACGGCAGCGTTTGTGCAACGCATTGCAACTCGTTGGTTTTCATGTGCACGGCTGTTGCCTGGACTCGCCACAACATGAGCCGGAGTGTTGCACAGAATGAGATATATGGGACTAGGGTCGGTCATCCTTCATTGCCTCATTACACAGGACATTTGACACCCGTGATGTGTTCTTTGGGTTCCCTCGGTCGAGGTGTTTCTTGTCGCGCATGCCGCACATCGAACCTCGAACTTGAGTCGCCCGCCCAACGCTCCGCCCAACTTCCGCGCCAGGGTGATGTCGGGGCTAGCTCCTCCCCCGCAGGGTGCCATTGTGGACCTCGGGCAAGGGGGCATGGCGCCCCTGCCCGGATCGGGGACCAAAGATCCCCGAAAAAGTCGTTCACGTGCAGGTTCGGGCTCCGGGATTGTGATCGCTCCACGGTTGAGGTGAGCGGCCGGCCGGCCTGTCGCCAAGGGTTAGTTAGAAAGGTGGCGATTATTACTCTTTGGGGAAGATGTTTCAGAAATACAAACGGTAATAACTTTTCTCGTGTCGTTTTGGTACTATTTTATGAGTATCACACTATCTACGACGTGTAAAAAGACCAGTTTCGAGGTGCAGTTCCGTTTGCGGAGGCTGCAAGTGGAACTGCAATGGACCACCAACAGGGCGTAAGGGTTTGGGGGCACGGTTTGGCCGTATCTACATAAGTTGTATTGGAGGAGGTGACATCCTCGAAACTGGCGTTCCTGGACGAAAATTACGTCGGGGGCGACCATTGAGAACTCGGCGGAGCCTGCCGTGAATTATCACGGTTCACGTGCGTTGTAACAATTCACGCGTTTAACATTTTCGCCTCCCCGTCCTCTGGCTGTCGCCCTCGCCGTTGCTCCTGCCAAGCACAGGCCACCGGACTCACCTTTCAGTCGAGACCCACGAAAAGCTGCTCTGGCCGCTAGGCACACACCTAACAAACCAAAGCAAGAGCAACAACCGGACATGGATGCCCTCGCCGCTCCAGCCCCTCCCCTAAACTTCGCGGCGTTTCCTACAACGACGCACGGGGATGGGTCCGCCGCCCCCTTGTACGCTGGGGAAACCCAGCAGTCCAATCCGAACGTTGAAGCAGAAGGGGAAGCTGGAGGAGATGTTAAGGATAAGGCGTTGGGTTCTCCGGAGACGTCGGTCCCGGTTGTCGGCGAGGTCGCAGAAGGGGCACCGCAGTTGGGAACGTCAGGGTTTGCTTCGTTCCCGGTGGGAGGGACCCCGGCGGAGGTGGCCATGCCAATGGCAGGGTTTGCGTCTTTCCCCGACATGGGGAGTATTCCAGAAGTCATTTCCACGCCGACGGTGTCACCTACCGCTGCGTCCTTCACGCACGCGTGGGCGAACTTCGAGGACAACAGAGGAAATGAAGCAGGTGACACGAAGGAAGCTGAGTCGGACGTGCGATATCCCGGCTTGAAGCTTGGCGGTGCGCCCCTCGCGACGCCAACAAAGTCGGACGTTTCTTCGCTGGCGAACACACCCTCTTCGTCGTCGGTGACGGGGAGCACGGTTGCTATGTTGGTATCCAAATTCGGAGGAGGGGGGACGGAGGTCACCGTCATTCGGGAGGGTGAAGATCTGCGAACACCCGATGCCGACAGATTGACTTCTCATCTTGGAGCGTTGAGCCCAGTTTCTGCGACTGCTGAAGACGATGTTGCCGAAGAGAGTGCGTCCGATCAAGGAGCTAGCACTGCTGGCGGAACGGAGGAATCCGTTGACGCGGCAGGGTCCAACCCAGTCACTGCGACTGGTGAATATGGTGTTGTTGAGGAAGGGTCGACTGACCAAGACGCGAGTACTGCTGGCGGGACGAATAATAAGGAAGCCGTTAACCCAGCAACGTTGAGCCCTGTGTCTGCGACTGGTGAAGATGACGTTGCCGAGGAAGGTGCGACCGTTCAAGAAACGACCAGTGCTAGCGGGATGGGCAACAAGGAAGCCGTTAACGCAGCAGCGTTGAGCACTGTCTCTGCGACTGGCGAAGACGGTGTTGCCGAGGAAGGTGCGACCGTTCAAGAAACGACGAGTCCTGCCGAATCGGACAACAAGGAGGCCGTTAACACAGAGGCGAACCCAGTCCCTGCGACTAGTGAAGATGATGTTGCCGAGGAAGGTGCGACCGACCAAGAAGCGAGCACTGCTTGTTGGGCGGATAACAACGAAACCGTTGACCCAGCCGCAGTGCCTCCTGCGGCTACAGACACACATCTTCATGGTCAATCATGCGCTGCGGAGGCGCACGGAGATGTGGCCGTTCAAGCAGAGGCCACCACTGTCCCCCCGGGAAATGATGATCCCACACCTGTAGACGAGGGTAGCCCCGTGATAGCACTCGAGGACGCTGATCAAACAGAGACCTCGAAGGTGCCAACCTCAGAGTCTACCGAGGCACCAAAGACAGTGTCTTATTCTGACGGCAGCATCAAACCCGTTACGGAAACGGGAGATCCGGCCACTCCAGGAGACCCGGCCACTCCAGGAGATCCGACCACTCAAGTTGAAGCAAACTTGAAAGAACCGGACGACGACGAGTCCAGGCAAGACGCAACAGGGATGGGGCCCGTGAATGTTTGCGACACCGAACAGGCCGACCCGGACAAGCACGAAGAGGAAGAGGAAGGTGGTGCACCTCCTGCACAGGAGGAAGACCATGCTCAAGTGGTGCCGGGACCTTCCACGCAGGTCTCCCCCCCATCCAATCAAGAAGAGGAAGAGGAAGGTATTGCACCTCCTGCACAGGAGGAAGACCATGCTCAAGTGGTACCGGGACCTTCCACGCAGGTCTCCCCCCCATCCAAGCAAGAAGAGGAAGAGGAAGGTGTTGCACCTCCTGCACAGGAGGAAGACCATACTCAGGTGGTACCGGGACCTTCCACGCAGGTCTCCCCCCCATCCAAGCAGCAACAGGAGGAAGAGGAAGGTGTTGCATCTCCTACACAGGAGGAAGACCATGCTCAGGTGGTGCCGGGACCTTCCACGCAGGCCTCCCCCCCACCCAAGCAGCAAGAGGAAGAGGAAGGTGTTGCACCTCCTGCACAGGAGGAAGACCATGCTCAAGTGGTACCGGAACCTTCCACGCAGGCCTCCCCCCCATCCAAGCAGCAAGAGGAAGAGGAAGGTGGTGCATCTCCTGCACAGGAGGAAGACCATCCTCAGGTGGTACCGGGACCTTCCACGCAGGTCTCCCCCCCATCCAATCAAGAAGAGGAAGAGGAAGGTGGTGTACGTCCTGCACAGGATGGAGAAGATACCCAGCAGGTGCCCCTTGCGGAAACTCCCACGCAGGTCTGCCCCCCATCCGAGGAAGGGGGAGCGACGGGCGGCGGCGGCGAGGGTGACCTGGAAACGTCGGAAACGTCGTCGACGCCGCGTGGCGATTCAAACGACAACGCGTTGCCCGCGAGCAACGCTGCTGATACCACGAGTCCGGCAGATACGGCGGCATCTTCAGATGTTGTTGAGCGGGAGCAAGCAACAAGCAGCGAGACCGCCAGTAGCACGCCGATGTCGGTTTCTTCCGTAGCAAAGAAAATCGCCCCGGCCGCGGAGAAGACCGCAGCGCTAACACAAGACCCTCGCAAGGTCGGCAGTGTCGAGCAAGCGCCGCCGCCTTCAACAGGTCCAGCTGAGCACGCCGGGGAAACAGACACCCTGAGCACGGGCCACGGTAGCGGTGTCACCAACGCCGAGCCAGAGTCAGGGTTGTCGACAGCGACAACCCCGGAAAACGAAGAGTCGCCGAGCAAGGGCGACGTCAAGGTGGGACCACCACAGTCTCCGACAGCAGCTCCGGAAAAGATCGAGACTAGCACCCCTGAGTCTGAGGAGTCAAAGGGCACGATAGCGCCGCCGGCAGCGGCTGCTACTAACGCGGGTGGGGGGGCTGGTGGAGGCGGTACTGAAATCCGCTCTCTTATCCTGGCGGGCTCCAAGGGTGTGTTTTCGACGGCGGAGCTAGCTGAGGGGCACGCCAGGTCACCGCTTCTTGGCTCCACGGGCACGGTTATGAGCTTGGCGTCGTCGCAAAAGAAGGTGGCTACCGTGGCGATTGTGGACTTGTGGAATGGGGGGGCCACGACAAGGTGAGATCGCGGCGAGTGGAAGTACAACTGCTGTGTGTGTTTGATAGGAGAAGGGTCGGAGAACAGAGAGAGAGAGAGAGAGAGAGAGAGAGAGAGAGAGAGAGAGAAACCGTCTTTCCAAGGGCACTGTTCAACATGCCTAGCGTCGAACTCGCCTCCCACTCCTATGCCCGATGATCCACAGAAGCTCGTGGACAGTCTCGACGGGTTCCTGCCGAGTTGTCGGGGAGCATGTTTCGGGCCAGTCCAAATACTCTTCTGGCGGGACGTCTGCTGATTAACGCGCATTTGTCTTTTTGTTTGGTTCCTGATGCGCACATGCTAACACTTGGCCCAACATGTTGATGTTGTTACCGGCCGCTCTTGTTTGTGCCATAAAGATATCCCATCGGTTGCGTGAGCGCGGTTCTCAGCCCACGAACAGATGAGCAGGTCATCGCTTTGCTTTCGGAGCGTGGGATGCAGGTAAGACTATCGGCGTGACCATGATATTTTGTAACTTGTGACTGCCACATCCCGCAGATGCGTCTGCTCATCCCATGTCAGCGCTCACGGCGCATCTCTCTATAGTTTTTGCAAAGCTTCAGAACGGGTCCTCATCCTTCGAAGATGCCTCCTCTGTTTCAGCTTTCTACTGTTGTACACCCCCCTCTCTGTCTCCGCTACCAGCCCACCCAGATGTCTTGGGCTTGTGCTCATCGAGGTCCCCTCGATTTGTGCTTGACTCACAGTACTAAGCCCCTTACCATCCGCCCCTTGCCACATTCCTAGTTTTGAGTGTCCGATGGCCTTTACACTCGCGCAACCCCACCGCATTCATGGTTGGTTTCTATTGCCCCCCTAATCAACCCATGTCATCTCTGGCTTGGTTTGGAACAGCAAACGCAAGGATGATGGCCAGCTTCTGGTTCTCATCCTTGTGAAACGCAGCCTGGGCCGGCGAAAACCCGTAATATCGCTCCGTCCCGGCGTTGCAGGGATGCGAGGTCAATGGTCCAACGACTACGGCATGCGTTTACATGAGCCCCCCCTTGCTTCGTCATTGATGACACCCAGGTGTTCAGCGTGACCCACAGGGTTCGCAGGCGACACGTGGTGATAAAGTCGTCCAGCGTGAGGCTGTGGAAGTGGGTCGACGACGATGTGATCGCGATTGTCACCAAGGAGGTGGGTGCCTGAGGACGTTACTTACGCCAAGCGCCTCGACACGGGCCATGTCGGCCGTTCTCAAGACCCTGAAATATTGTTTCTGACGCGGCTGGACAAGTGGACTTTGGTCAACGGTAGTCACATATGTAGACCTTATACGGAAACTTGGTGCTCAATGATATGGGTACGATTTAGGGTATGCATCTATCGTTTGGATGATGCACGGAATACTTCATACGTCTTGGACTCATATGTGTCGCTGTCTCTATGGGTCTGATCAACGACTTTTGTGTGCGAATGCTCGCCATGGGCCCTTCGAGAGACGGAATCCTGATGGCATGGACAATCCACATCTGCTAAGGCACCTGCCACGTTCCCCGTCTTAGCCTGGCCCGTTGGCGCGTATCCAATAGAGACTAGCGCCGGACGGCCTGGGGGTAGTGTCCAGGCATAGACAGACATGTGCCTCAGTCTACAGCAGCCAGGCGGTACATACCTGATTCTGTTTCTCAACCGTTTTTGCGACCCTGTGACTCTGCACTGTACGCGGACCCCGTGCGCTGTCCGCTCCCAGGAGGTGCTCCGGTGGGATGTTCGAGGGACTGCCATGCCGAAGAAGCTTTTCACGCGGAATCGGCCATACAGCCCATCCCCCACCGACGGTGCCAGCAGAGCTTGCGACTACCAGTGCACGGCTGACGGCAGGTGCTAATTATCGTTGGTACAAGAAGTGGTTCTAGGCTTCTCAGTGTACTCGGGACGGAGCACTGGGTGATGTTGGAACGGAGAAGGAAAGCAACAATGGGCACGTCTGGTAGCGGCTGTTTAGAACGTAGCGAAGTAGCGGAGAAGACGCACGCAGAGACAGCCTCCTTTGTGCGCGCGCTATTCACGCAGCGGTAGTCCTGCACGTGAAAGTTGACGCCCGAGAGATCACGCCCGTGTCATGCCCATCACACGTCGTGCTGGTGCCGCTGGCCTAGTCTGGGGTCTTGCGACGTCGTGGTATGAAACCCGTACAGAGCGTTCAGGTGTAGTTGGGGGACCGACTTCAACAGTGAGGAAGTCTGTTGTTTGGATTCTATGCATACGAGGGAGATCATTGCTCGTTGACATGCCGAGGCCATTCGGTTCTTGCCACAGATGGGGGCTGCTGTTCGTCGCCGACAAGGAGCGCATGTGTGATGGCTGCAGGCATGAGCCGCACGACACAACTCAGGACTGCTGTGCTTGCGAGGTACGACAAACGCTCGTATTCGCTTGTGTGATGTTAGGTGGCCTCATATTTCTGTACCTATATGTCACACATCAGTCGAGTATTTTTCTCACATTCTGTGAATTGGAATTTTTCTTCGGGCACAATCCATCTGTTAGGCGGACAATAGGTTTTGGTCTTGGTTGGTGCGCCGAATAGGTTTCAAGTAGACCGCGTGGACAAGTACATTGCAGCATGCCGAATGCTCACCTATTTTGCTCTTGCCCGCTCTTGTCGACACGTGTGGCGAATCCTGAATCTCTTAGCCCCAACCAAGAGGGTTTAGTTCGATTCAAAAATGAAATGTCAAAACCTGGCAAGGTCTCGTCCAAAGGGTCACACCTAGAAGCGCCCGCGTTATCTCTGACTCGCCCGAATCCAATGGTTGATGCTCTCTTTTTGGACCATGACATCGTATTCGATCGCAATTCGCACCGTGCCTGGCGTCTTTATACCCACCAGCTGTGGATTGACTCCAGTGAGCTAGAAGACCGTCGGTACTCGTTTTTGACACTCTTCACCCTCTGACACGCTTCGGTTGTTTCTGCATCCGTTTGCTTTTTTCAATTCTTGAAGACTTCGTTGCTGCTGGACCTTCACGACTTCAGTGGCACGGCAAACACGCGCTGTTTCCGCGCCCTCGGTGCCTCCCTGTTGGACATCCCGCACCGGCCAGCGGCGGATGCGACACCCCCGGCGATGACGGCGGGTGCGCCAAATCATTCGGAGGGTACGTGAAGCTACGCCCCGGTGCTTGCGAGTTTCCTCTGTCTTTTTTTTTCGCTCTTTCTTCTGTTTGTGTTGGGTGGTACATTGAATGCGCAACACCCGTGGCGGGCGTGGTCACTCATGGTGGCATCAGAAAGTGTTGCGCTTGCGGGTGGTTGGTCGGTTTACGGTGTGTTTTGGCTGAAGCCCCTGCTGGTCATGCCCACGTGGGTTGAGGTGAGTTCTGTCGCATGTCCAATGAAGGTGCTGTCTATTAGTGGCGTATGTCGCATCTGTCTCACAAAGGTACAACAATTGTGGTAGGCGCAGAGGACTGAAGAGTTCCTACACAACTTCGCTCGCTTCCTCTGAATTAAACATTTCACCAGCGAGCGATCGGTTCTTTGATGTCCAAGGTGCTGCGTACGAACGGCCTTGACCCTCACGCCACGAACGCGAATTTTCTACCGTTGTGCCAGGGTTCGAGTGGGACAAGCCCTTGCTGGCGGCTGTTATTCCAGACGCCGACACCGGCTTGAACCTTCTTCAACTGCTGCGGCTCGGCGACCGACAAGGCGGTGGTGGCGGAGATGGCGACTGTCTTTGTTCGGCGGTCTTGCAGGAGGAGGGTCAACAGCACACCGGTAATTCAATTCTGTCAACCGCCCTGTGTTGAGAGTACCGTTGAGGCCGGTCGGTTTCTTTTTGATAAGTCCCACAAGACGAACCCTGACGGATTTCTTCTTCGAAGTGGCTTTGCCACCCATCGGATAGCCCCCAGCTTTCACCAGACAGGTAAAAACACGATGTAGTTCTAATCGGACACCCGGGCAGTTTAACCCATGTACGTTCACCCGTGTGAGTTCTGTTTCTAGACGCTGTGTTGCCCTCTGAAGCCCATACAATCGCTCTTTTCCCACCTCCGCTCCCCCCCTGCTGTGGCACTACTGCTATGGTCGAACAATGCGTGGCACCAGGGCTTCGCCAACTCCAGCGAAGCCTGAGGGAATCGAAACTGCCCGCTGTGCCGTACAGAATCTTACCTTGGAGACCGGCGCCAGGAATAGACCTTATCGTCGTTGTGACCCTCGCGGGGGCAATGACGGTTTTCAAGATTGAGCCCGAGGCGGCCGCTTTGACGAAGGTTTCGCACGACGGGCAGGCGTTTCCTGCGGGGGTTGTGGACGTCGAGGAAGACTCGCTCCACGGGGACCTAGTGGTGCTGTCTGCCGCGGCCGGGGAGGATCGGACCTGGGTAGTTTCTCGAGCATCGAAGGAGGTATCCTGATGATTTCTTCGCTCAGTTCGTTGCTTTTTCGCGGTCCCGCGAGATGTGGAGCAGCTATGAAATAGGTGTAGTCTGCGGGGTTTGTTTTCGGCGTGTGGTACAGCAGTATCGGGGTTGGATCGTTCGGTTCGCCAGCGATATGGAGAGTCACACCAGGGGCGTATGCTCGGGCAGCAGAAGATCTGGATAGTTACAATATGATTATTTTTCGCATGTTGCACTCTGTTCTTAGTTCCCCCACCATTAGCGCGTTTGAAGGGCCGGCAGCTGTACTTGAACGATTCCTGTGGTACAGAACACACCTGTGTGTGTATTTGTAAATCTCACGCATGTTTTCCGGTGGAATAAGTGCTGTGCTCAGGTCTGTAATAATATGTACAGCAGTATTCTCTTTGCGTTTGGGCGCGGACGTTACATACGTCAGTGCAACAAGCCGGTTCGTTCGTAACGAACTCTTGTCTGTTGGATTGGCCGGGCTAACCTGTATTGTATGCATACGATCATACGATCCTGTAGAATGTACAATAGATTGTAACAGAAAGAGGCACGGTTGAGAGGCACGTAGAGCAACCAGTGCGCGACCCAACGGGTTGTGCTACACGTAGTTGGGCCGGGCTGTAGACTAAAAGTAGAAGTAAATTGCGGTTGCCATCGCGATTGAATATTACACGTGGAATGCTGAGAGTGTGGCAAAAAGACGGAAACTCGTGCGGGAGTCTGTCGCTCACAAGAGGCACGCGGCTTCGTCCGCTGTTGTTATCAATATTTTGTCCAGTTCCGTCGGGCCTTGAATCTTATAGAACTAGTCTACGAGGTCTACCACGGACTGGCAGACGGATCCGTCATCCATTTTTGGCGGTTGGTTGTGGATACCGCTCGCTCGACGGAAACATGCAAACATGGACACATGACGGTTGTTATATCATCAAGCATCAAGGCATCAACGCTCGCAATTTTGTGGTATCTGGAGTCCTCCGTCCTCCCACGTAAAACGGGAAATAGGAAATCTACGATGCATCGCATCATTTTTCTATCAAGAACGAACGGTCTTCAAGACACCAAAAATAGGAAAATAGGGCTTGAAAACCATTCTGAAAACCACTGCCTCGAAGAGGAGGCGTTCGTCGGACCTCTGTCGCGGCGAGCCGGAGAATCGTCGCTAACGTCTCGCCCTGAGTGAAGGGCCTAATTCCGCCGCTGCGCTCTCAGCGCTCGAGGGAGCCGCAGCATAATTGTCTATACTGTACCTCTACAAGTAGTCCGGCCGCGGGGGGCTATCGGTCCCACAGCAGTAGCAGATGACCGCGTCAAGTGTTGGATCAGCACGGACATGTGAAGGTGGGTAAATAGAGAGAGATCGGAACGGTTTTTAATGTGAAGACAACAACAACAAACAACAAGCCCCCGCAGCTGGCCTGAAATAGAAGCATGCGTGAGTCATCGCACTCCCTCTTCCCCTTGCTCACGGGACTTGCAACAGTAACCATCATGCATACATCCATCGCCTCTCTCTGCTCTCTACTCCTGTAGTGTGGATATGTCGGATATGATATAGGCGTTGCGTTGGCCCTGGACCAGCAGCTGATGCCAGTACAACAGCAGGAAAAAAAAAAAAAGGTCCAACGGATCACTCCACAAAAATACTCTTCGAAACCATCAACACAAAGACACACACACTCCTTTGCCCACCCGCGTCGCGTCACTCGCACACCCAGCAACTAGCTCCTTCGGGGAAGACTAACGCTTGTCCGGAGACGAAACGCAAAGCAACCTTACAAAACGGCGAAGCTGCTGCTGCTGAGGAGGAGGAAGGCTGAGCTAGTCGGCGGTCGTACCCTGCTCCTGCTACTAGACTATGGCGCGAGTCGACCAAGGGATCTCGCGAGCCAGCGCAATGAGAGCGAACTACGAAGCCTCTCTCGGCAACATCACCAGCGCCATTAGAAGGGGTGGTATCGGCCAGGTCCTCAAGACTCTGGGCATTAACAAGGCCGAGCCAAGCGTGCACGTGAGTGTGTATCGAATTGTGGACCAGCTAGCGTCTTGGGTATGGGTATGTTTTCATCTTTGTCGACACATCGGTCTGTTCACGTTCACGCTCAACTACTACCTGTAGGCCAACTCCACCTAGTATGTGCACAGATCGAAACGAGGTGTTCTGGGTAGAACGTAGATTTCAACCGGTACGTGGTGCACTGCTTGGTGATGCATGTCCCTTGTGCACCAGAGGGGTGTCGCTTATCGTGCGCTGCGGGCAGCAGCAGCGACTTGGTTCACGGTAGACGTGCTAGACTGCCCTTGGCGTTCACCCGACATAAGGGCCGCAGATTTTTCGGACGATTTTTGCGCCATTTGGGTTGTTGTGCATTTGTACCCAACCCCTCTCTCAGGAGCACCTAAGCGGGACATGTATCTAGCTTAGTGGACGTGTTGCCGACCTATAGGTTGGTGTAGAGTTGGCTTCGCTGCCGTTTGATTGCGTGTGTGTCGCGCTTGCCTCGGGCAATTGAAACGTGGCTAAAGTTCTGGCCCAGTTCCGGCATGATGGATGCGAGATGCGAGACGCAACAGAACGTCTTTCCGCCAAGCTGCCTGTAGCCGAGCGTTGAAAGATTCTGACCCCAAATGGTGAATGGCATCTCTTGTCTTGACTCCAGTACAGAATCGGGTCGATCATGGCACACATTTTGCTGTTTGCCCGTCCTTCCGAAGCACTGAACGTGTGTGCTGCTTGCATAGGGAAAGGAATTACCGGAGCGAGGTGCTGCTGCGCGGTGCAGGCCGCCCATGCGCGCATGCATACCCATCCGGACACAGAGCTTTTTATATTTGAAAAAAGAGAGCCTGTGCCTCTTTTTTTCGGAAAAACAACTCTACCACCCGGCGTGCATGCAGCAGGTGGCAAACAATTTTCTACTGCTGTCGTTTGTCCTGTCCTTTGGCTCCAACACCCGTACTCACAGGTCAACGTTGGCAAACAGCAGTCTAGCAGCAAGGACACCTCTGGCAAGGCCGAAGGGCGCGGTGGTCTCGTTGCGGATGGGGAGCGATCAGCCCAACGCACGCTAGGCGTCAGCTTGCTTGGAGCCTGCAGCAGCAAGGGCTGCCCCACCAAGTCCGTTGAAAACGAAGACCGATACGTGCATGTGAGAGCCGCAACATGTGCAAAGAGGCGCGGGCTCGGTGGTGCAGGAAATCTGCACACACAAGAGTGCATTCAACGCTTGCCGTTGCTGGGATATGGCTGCTGCGGTGTCCGTTGGCCTTGCTAGCCTGTAGACTGTAGACCATAGTCTAATGAGGAACCACCCCCCTTTGAGTGCCGTTGCGCGCAGCTGTTGTGGGTGCTGCGGAGAAACTAATCTGAATTTGAAATGGCTGGAAACCGGAGCACCGTAACAGCTAGATATGCCAGCATATGTCAACAGCTATTTACTCGAAGTAGTCGTTTAAGTAGCAGTCTTGCGCTCTGTTTCTCCGTTGTGCAACGGATCAGTAGATATCACATGCTGCTGTTACTGTCATCGCGTTATCGCTCCTGATTCCTATCCGTAGAGGAGATCGGAGTCGAACAGATTCGTTCTTCGTTCTTCATGGAAAGATGGAAAGATGGAAAGAGCAATCATGAGTCATTCATTTCAATTTCTTCTTTTCCAACTTGTTTTTGCGATTTGAAGAAAATTGAAAATTTAATGTGCGGGGTACGCCGTTGAAATGCTGCTGTGCTCGACTGTGTACTACTGCTGTAAGTAGGCCAGACAGCGACCGGTGAGGCGCTACTTGCCGCCTTACCCTTTCGACTTTCGGCTTTCGGCAGTTATTTTTCTTAGTGGCGGTGTCTACTGCTGTGCTACAAATTTATCCCACGACTTGAAATTTCGACAGCACCCGGTTGTGCATGCGCGTGTATTGATGCATGTGAATAATGTGCCTAGCATGGACCGATGTCCTACTGCTGTGATTCGTTCGACTCAGTCAGGTCAAAAGATAACAGCATCCGTTCCGTGGTGTTTCTCGTTTCGCATTGACTGATTGACACTTGGATGTTATGTCCCGGAGAAGTGCGGCGATCAAACCCGGGATGTACTAGTAGATGGATGAATCCAAGTGCCGGCTCTTCAGCACATCAGCTGTTCATCACAGACAGATATCACGTCTCGCTGCTGCATGGTGGTCATGTGGTCACACCATGTGCTCCAAAGAGTACGATGCAAAAGGCAAAGCTATTGGTTGCCACAATTTCCGCGGCTTTCGCTGTTGCGCCCGTGGGGGTATCATCGACGTGCACGATTGCGCTGACACGGCATGTCGCACACCCCAGACCTTGCCGCCCACTGACCATCGCATGCCTGCTCATACTGCTGTATTCCTTCGCAGGGCAAAGTCCACGTCGACATGAGCAAGCTTCAAGGGTTGGGCGTACAGGCTGACTCTGATGGCCATGGCAGCGGCAAGGGTAAGGTTCCGTGCTGGGCTTTCGCCACGTTCGATGGCCACGCGGGCCCTGCCTGCGCGCACTTCCTCAAGGAGAACTTCATGGTGCGTGTGCCCCTGCAACACATTCCGTTGAGTTGAAAAAATTCCGTTGAGTTCAAAAAGTTTCTGGGCCCTGATCGGAATCGTCTCTTGGACCCGCAAGCGTGGGTGCGGTTCCAGCGAGTAGTTGGCAGCGCGTCACTGTCGTCATGTGCCACAACCGCGGGTCGACGGTTGTCCTGTTGAATACACTGTGTTTCGTTGACGTGCTGACCCTATTACAGTATGGGGATTGCATTTCCATAGCAGACCCCCCCCCTCCCCCGTTTCTGCGTACCCAAATTATGAAGGCTCACCTGAGAAAAACCGTCGACACAAGATACAACGCGGCCAATGCCAAGACGACCCACAGCACCACCACTAGACAGGCCCAGGGCAACGCGGACGCGGGAGCAGGCAAGCTGAAGCAAGAGGAGGAAGAAGCTTCCGAGCCGCCGAGAAAGGACGGTAGCGTTGGTCACGGTGGCGGCGACGGTAACGACAACGCCGACGTACCTCCTCGAAAACTGAGCCCTTCCGTGGAGGTGGTGCTGGCGCGTTTGCTAACCGACACCCTGGCATCGTTGACGCGGGAGTTTGAGGAGGAGGCTCTCGAGATCGGAGAGGTGAGGTATAAGAATTGTCCTTCTTGTAGCATATATTGAGCAGTAGCAGCATACAACGGGAGGCACTTGGTGGGATGGGGCCACGTCGGACATGGGTCACGTTTTCCTTGGTTTCTTGAGAAGCTCCCGTGCCCGTTGGACAACCTGCCGGCAATGCAAACTGATCGGTGGACGCCCGGTTGTCCGCTGCCGCTGCTTGCAATGCTTGCAATCATCAGCTGCGACGTTCCTCTCTCTCCCTGAAGGGCTTGCTTGCATGGACAATGTGTGCTAGCAGGTATCAGTGTTTGTTTCCACACGGCGTATCCCTGGAGCTCTTCGCTAACCAACCGCTGTGCTCCCTCCCTCCCCATCCTCTGTATGAAACCCCGGTGCCACGTCTTCGGTTCGCCTTGTCGTCAGATTTCGGGTGCTTGCGTGATCTCCGGTTTGTATTGCGAGGGAGCCCTCGTGCTGGCGAACGTGGGCGACTGCCAGGCGGTTTACCACGGACAGGTCAAGAGCGCTCCTGGTGATGCTGTCACTGCGCAGACGGTGAGATTTGGCGAGACAGGGAAAGAAGGGAACCCTAACTCCCTCAGGGGCGGAGGGAGTCCGAAAAGCTTGCTTGTTCTGTTTCTCCAGATGCGTGTGACGGAGGGGGGGGCTATTTCGAACGAGATCCGTGCTCTTTGGTAGGCATAGCAGTCCGGAGTATGGTTGGACGTCGTGTGACATCGACAGCCCCACAGAGGTGGGCCTGGACCACGTTCTTGTGTGTTTTCCAAAGCCTTCTCACCAACGCTCTGAATGCGGCTTTGGACCGTTCTGTTTTCATCAGCAACATGGCATCTTCGTATGTAAACACGTGTTGTCGAACGTTGTTGTTATCCATATCAAGGGTTTACCCGCCTCGTTCGCAAGCGTTGTTCTGACGTGTTTTCTCGGTTGTTTTCCGCTCTTACGTTTCTGCCTGTGGGTCCCTCCGCCGACAACGGGATGGGCCACTCGCTGATATCTTGAATTGTCCAGACGGTCCACGACGGCACCAACCCCGCGGAGGTGAACCGTTTCCTCATGGCCGGTGGGTACATAAGTGCCTCCGGGCGTTTCCAGGGGGTGTTGGAGCCGAGCCGCACGGTGGGAGACGTGGACGTGAAGGCGGACTGCCCGAAAGGCTGCATCGCTTCTTTCCCAGAGGTATGTACGCACACAGCAGTGTAGGGGCTCAAGCGAGTGATTGGGTTTCGTGTGTTGTGTACATGATGATGGTGTGCATAGCTGTTTGTGTTCCGTTGGTTGCGCCGCCCGCGTGCAGGCATCCAGGTTGTCTTCGATGGGCTTGGCCCCTGTTCAGATTTCACCACGGAGACAGCAGTGTTCGCTGAGGTTTTCGTGCATGAATAGAATGAATAGCTCTCACCAGTGACGGTGGTAGGCTATTGTTTGGCTTTCGATTCACCCCCCCGCCGTCCTATTGACGCCCTTTTGGTCACATCACCATCAAGGTTGCCTTCGTCCGTGTCCGTCTCCATCATTCACGAAACAGTGTTCCGCCCCGCCCATCTTTCATGTGCCCGTCCCGGCAGCTTTTCAAGGTGGACATCGCGAGCGACGTGTTCCAAGGTGACGAGAAGCCGTCCGTGCCGCCTTTCCTCGTGCTAGCCACCGACGGGATCTGGGACGAGACTACGGCCAACATCGTGGTTGACGAGGTCAAGGACGGCATCGCCAAGATCCAGGCCCACAAGCGGCGCTTCGCCATCCGCACAAGAAGCGGTGGCAAGCATAAGCGAAACTTATCCTTCGGATCGACGACCTTCACCGACGGCGAGAGCGACTCGGAGGACGAGCCGAGCGAGTTTTGTGGAAGCGGCGAGTGGGCTGAGCAAGGGGTGAGTCGACCAAGTCCGTCCATGGGGTGTACGATTTGCTGCAAAAGGTTGTGTCGATATATGCGTTTGTACCATGTATTTTTGGTGTGACCGTGACTTGTCATGTTGGGTCTGCTGTGCCTAAAACAGTTGTATCGGCCGACCTGCCGCTGCGGCAAGCTTTAGCTTTATACTCGAGCCCTTGTGAGACGCGAAGAAGAGCTTGCACAAAGGTGTTTGACTTTGCGATGCCGTCCGTCCATCACCTCGTCGACTACCTGCGAAAAAACATGTACTTCGAACTATGTGCTTTGCCGTATCTTGACCTTTCTCCTCCCTCTCCCTCTCCGTCTACCCTTTGCCCTCCTGTTACAGATGGACCTCGCTGAGCGAGTGGTGTCTCTCGCCAGGGGACGGTATGACGACGCCACGGCCCTGGTAGTCGTGTTCGAGTAGCTCAAACGACAGCGGTATAGCAACGTAGCTACCACACCAAGTTAAAAAATGGCGCGTCGTATAGCAGTCAGTTCTCCGCCGGTGTGGCTACACTTGTCAGTTTCCAGTTTCCATCGCGTGTATATACATATTTACACGGTGCAAGGCGGGACAGGGCCTCGGGTTCGAGGTTCCAATACATGTTAACCTGCTGCTGTTGTACTGCTGTCGTCGTTGATGACAGCGACCTGTATCGGAAGGAGTGAGTCAGTGAGGGCGCACCTCGTTCCTACATCGTGTATTCGGGCACAGTTGCCATCGGTTTTGAATGGCACGTATGCTTACTGTATGCCGTGGATATCTTCTTTCCTTTGGTTTTGATGCCTTGACGTCGGTCTCTTGTCTGACTGTCGACACGGAGTCCTCGGGCTGCCTTTTCCTGTTTTCAACCCCCTTCTATGCATCTGTACCGTCCCATATGACGGGCCAGGGGGAGGGGGGGGGGTGGCGAGAACGAGAAGAATCTCGTGGTGTCGATGTTTCTTTTTCTTCTGTTGTTTGTTGCCCTTTTTGTGTGTGAGGGGGAGAGAGAGAGATGGACGATGCGGCAACATCTTGACTGCACCGTTGGCCGTTGGCTTGCTCCTTTTGTGTGTTTTCTGTGCTTGTATTCGTGGAAGCTGGCATGAAACCAGCGTCAGGTGTGTTCGAGTTTGAGAGCGACGGAGTGTAGTTTCGCGCTCGCAATTGTTGTGTATTAGTGTAGTAGAACGAACGTATTGATTGAATTGCGTCTGGGTTAGGGGGGTTGGAGGTCATGGAGCCATCGTGAGTTCAGCGATGGACCAGGGTGGAAGAGTTACCTCTTCTCCTTTTGGGCGGGTGGGGTTTCAGCAACATCGAAGGTGATCGTGCTTGCACTTGCTGATTTCGTTATTCTATGGCACAAACATTAATTAACCGTCTTGTTGTTTCTGTAATTTGGTTGACGGCGTTGCTGTGGTTTAATTGTCTTTCCACCTGTTCCGGTGGCATTGGCGTCGTATGTCAAAGGTTGATAGGCCCACACTACAAGCACATATGCGTAAGAGCCCTTTCGCGGGGCACTTTTATAGAGCAAACGTGGCACTTTTTTGGTAGAAGCTTGGCTTTTGGCACTCCGTACGTGAGGGGGAAGTAAAGCAAGCAGTAAGAAGCGGGTCGATGCTGGAGGTTGTCGTAGGTTGAGTTCAGATTTTTCAGACACAGCAGTATTGTGATTTTTTTTTATCATCTACAATAATCGTGATTTGATTTCTTTCTAGAGTGGTGATTTTTCGTATTCTCCTTGGGCAAGGACTTGATGGAGAGCCGGCGGAGCCCTCAGCGTCCTCAACTTCGTGTTTGTGGGATGAACAATCCCTGCTGGATATGCGTTTGTAGGTGTGCAAAAGGGGCGAGCGTAAGACTCCCTTGGCTTTGGGGATAGGGTAGGGTATGTAGGGCTTTTCAGCGCCGTATGCATACGCGAGGGTAAGAAACCATCGTTTCACAGCAGTTCGTTCCTTCGTGTGGACACCCTTTTTTGAGTCTCGTTGTGTGCATGTATCAAGGGCGGTGGACGTTGCGGGGCCGCCTTGATAGCATTGTCGGGTTAAATGACGCCGAATGTTCTCGACGTTGGGAGGGCACGAGGGAGAGGAACACACACCGTAGTTCCTCGTGGGCCTGTAACGGAGAGATAGGATTGGATGCCTTCGGAGTGAGTAGAGTTGCATGTATGGAGCGTCATGTATTGAACGTTTTCCTTGCATTCATAAATATGTGGTAGTGTTTCTCCCTTACACGGGGGATGGACATACATCTGTTTCTCTAAACATTATTCATTCATTAGAAAGGAGGAGCAAAGGGTGTGTTTGCGACGTGGTGATGTGAAACCATCGGTTAACAACGGTGGTAGAAGTGAACGTTCGGCGTGCCGGACTCTACTGTAGATGTTGTTGGTTATGCCTCCTGACGGCTGCGTGGTCTAGGTTAGGAGGTGGAAGTTTGGTATAGTATTTTTAATGGAAAAAATGGGGATTGTTCAGCTTGAACGTGTCTTTTTTTTTTTTTTTTGACATGTTGCATGCCCGGCAGGAATCCATCCTGTAACATTAGTCTCGGGGGTACAGTAACACTCTTCTTGCCTCTTGCCGAGACAACGTCAGTCAGTCAGATCCAACGAGCACAATCGTTTTGCGTTGTAAGATACTATCAACCATCTTGTGTCGTGTCCAGTGCAACACTGCCGGCATATTTCCGTATACGCACCGGAATCTAAGGAGTACAGTTGACATCATGCCTGCGTGCATTTTACTTTTGGCATCATGACACTGTACAGAGCGCATCATGACACTGTACAGCGCACTCCGTTGTGTCATGAACGGTGCTACTTTGTACCCAGTCTAGTCTTGTTTCCGTTTACGACACAGGTTATGTTACATCTTCTTGACTCTCCAACCAAGTGTATGAAGAGCTGTAGCCCTCCTGCCGGCGAACCTTATCGCTTCGAATGAATCCTATCCTTCCCATCCAAACACAATCGATCTAATCTCCATGAATCCTTTCCTTTCCCACCCACAAATACACTCGATGAAGACCAGTCAGTTCTCGTACGACGTTGCGTGATATTCGTATACCTGCAATGTTTGCCGCAGCATGGAATCTCCTGCAACAGAAGACAACTACCGTTTTCCTCTTTCCTCCGTTCCATCACGGGTGCGAATAATGCAGAACTCCGACTCTCACCAGTGGTGTGCAGACAGAGGCGCTAGACGGGCATATCCTCTTTCTCGGCCTGCCGCTTTTCCGGCCTGAATTTATCCTTGCACAACACACAACGTGTGCAACACGGCCACCCCTGCTTCACGGTCTCGTACACAGGCACACCTCCAAACCTCTTCCCGTATAAGAGCTATATAGAAAAAAGCTTGGTCCTCTCGCATCGGCATTGCCAGAAAAAACACAAGACGCGCCATAAACCATGCAGGTACCGACAACCATCCAAAAGCCATCGGAGACACACGCGCGGGGGTCATCAACAAAATCGAAGCCAACGAAGGCACTTGCATGCATGAGCCTGTAGACAGACACGAACGGACGATCGAATTTCTGTTCTACGAAACCACGAGATATATCTACCACGGAACGCGTGCATAGTGGCATTGTACTCAAGACGACAGTTAGTTACCGACAAGACAAGAAGAGCGGAAGGCCCCATCCCAACCACCCAGCAGGCCACACAAAAGCACACGTTACACAAGCTCGATACGACCAAGGCATCCCGCGCATCCTCGAACGCGCCCCCGTGCATATCATAGTTCTGTTGACAAAGGACTGGATTCTCCACCCTCTCCTCTCTCTCTCGAAACACACATGCGCCAGTTGGCAAGCTCCGTCAAAAAGTGGTTATTGTTGCAGCGCTCACACCAACCACGCAACACCCTCGTCTTGGAACATGCTTGACTCTCTCCGAAACACGGGCGGCTCGGCCTGAGGAACGCAAGATGTTGCTGCCAAAACCTGAGGCACGGCGCGCCGACCCCAGCGAAACACCCGATAGGCATCACGCTCACACACACCAAGGCAGATGTTGGCGCACAATGGTAACTGAAGGCCGCGACCATGGGGCATCGACATACTTGTTGTAACCATAACCATCTAGACAAAAAAAAAAAAAAAACACAGTGACGCGCCTTCCCCGCCACAGGGAACGGTACCGTCAGACGCTGGCAACAGACCCCTCGGGTTCACGCTCGCGCTGCTGCTACTGCTGCTGTTGCTACTGCTGCTGCTGCTGCTGGGGGTTCCGGGCTCCCCAAGAGCGGGGTCCCCGGTCGTGCGGGTGATCTTGCCCGATATACCGATGCCAGCTTTGCGGCCAACGCCTCCACTCTCTCAACAACCTCCGGGCTCCAATTCCGAGACACTATCGACCTGGGTGAGTACAGCTGGCGAGCCATGCAGATCACGTTTTGCTGTACTAACGTTTGGGGCTGAGATTGGCGGTTGTCGAGGTACCCAAGGACTCGTTCTACGCATTCCCGCCATGCCCTGCCCGTGTGCCAGCCACGACGCCCGTAAAACCACGGTTCCACCTGGAGCGGTACCTGACTGGCGGCAGTCGACAGGGTACAAAAGCGGTACGGAGGGGAGCGACTTACTTGTGTTTTCGTGCGGATGTAAGGGTCCTGCCAAAAGGCACAGCAGGAGCAGAATGGGCCCAAATTGACGTGCCTGCCGATATGCGCCCTCCACACTGCGGGTACAAAGGATACACATATTGAATCGCTCTATAAGAGCGGCTAAGAGGTGGCGAGATATTCTTGTTGCCATTTTGGGTCAAGCTCATGTAGCCACTAAAACTGCTGTCACTACATTGTACAGGGCGCTGCTGCGGGGGCCGCCACAAGTTGGCTGTAACAGGACAAAAACAAAAAGGACGACGAGGAGTGTTCGTCGCAACGACGCCCGTTTGGAATATGTTTCTTGGCGGCCGGGAAAACAGATGGGCCATGCGGGCACACAATACAAAAAGTTGCAAGTTGCCCATTGTGTGCGGGAAGGCAAAGAGAGGAAAGGAGCATCTCGAAACGGCACAAGTGTCGCGCGTCAATCCATGTGAAAGGCACCTGCAGGGATCATTCCCCTATAATCAACACTACACACAGCGGGAGCCTTCCTTCCTTTCAGGTTGGCTCGCCGCATGGTACGGTTCGTGTTTCCGGGAGCACCTCTAACCCCGCATGGGGGGGGGGGGTGGGGCGTACTCATTTGTTGCTTGCCGTAGTCATTTGACCATTGACCACGCGTCCCTTTCGAGACGGAGCACCGTTCCTACACCTACTAGAGACACCACCAACATTTGGGAGCTCTTTACGTTTCTGCCACAAACTCCATAAAAATTTCTTGCACATCTTATCCCCGTCCTCTAGGGCCTCTTGTGCCCACCATCTATCCCCAATTATCGCGATCGTTTTTTCGCTGTTGTCTAATTTACCAAACTTGTCCATGTCACACCCTCTCTGTCTCATTTCCTCCTCGAGATCCTCTCTTTCCTTCCTGTACAACTCACACTCCCCAACTATGTGGGGTCTACTCTCCTCCGATTTGCCACATGGACATGTGTGTCTATCCTCCTCTTCCTCTCTCCTACGGCAGGTATACCTCTTCCTCCGTTCTGGCAAGTCCAGATCGCCTACTCGAAATTGCAATTTCAGCTTTTTCGCACAGTCCATGGGGCCGTCCAAGTACTTCTTCATCCCTATCCCTTCTTTCAACTTCCCGTATATCTCCAAGTGGCTTCGCTTCGTACCTTCTTCCGAAGGGTTGCCTCCTCCCTACTCTCTAGCATCTCCTTGACTTTCGTCTTGAACCCCCCGAACCCTTCCGTGTCCAACGTTTCCTCCTCGTCTCCTATCTCCTTCCAAACCTTCTCTACCACCTTGTCCCATCTGATTCCCTTCTTCCCTGGAGTCGCTTTTCCCCAAGCTGCCTCGTCAACCATGGCTGGTAGTCTATCGTCCGACATTCTACTTACCTTGTACTGCCAATTCAACTTCTGCATGTCTCTCTTTGTTTTAAGAGAGTACATTCCTAATTCTGCTCTCAATACAGTGTTGCTCGTTGTACTTGAACATCCTAGTATTTTCTTGGCCGCTGCCATCTGCACCGTTTCCAGCTGCTTGACGGCCTTTTCGTTACCTTCCCATATCTCTCCTGCATACTCTAGCTTAGGTACAATCACCTTCAAGAGAATACACCTCTTAATCCTAGTGTCTAGGTGTGGGTCCGTAAGGATCTCGTCCATCTTGCCTATCTGAGCTTTACTCTTCCCAATCAACTTCGCTATGTGTGCGTCCCATGAGCACTCCTTCGAAATCTCTACTCCCAGGTACGTATACTTGTCTACTACCGGTATAGTTCTTCCTCCCCCCATTTCCATTTGAATTCTACGGGATTTTTCTTATCTTCGTTACAGACCACTACTGCGCATTTTCCTACGTTCGCCGACAGTCTCCATTTTCGGGTGTATCCTACCGCCGCATCTATTTGTTCTTGCAACCCTTCTGGTGTTTCGGATACCCCCACGAAATCATCTGCAAACATCAGTCCGGACACACTCTTTCCCTCTACTTGGACTCCCTGTCTTACTGCTTCAACCGCCCTTATCAAATCGTTGATGTAAATCTTAAATAGAGTGGGTGACATCGTACAGCCCTGTGCGACTCCTTGGAGTATATCCACGTACTTCATGGGGGGGGGGGGGGGG